TTAAGAATTTCCATTCGTTTCGAATATTATAGAAATTCATTGAAATCTTTTTATCAAAAATTTAAACTTAAATTTCCATAGATAGTTTTATTAGGAGGAGATTGTTACAAAGGAATTTTTTAAATTCTTCATATTGCTTTTTATCAATAAACAATTGAATTTTAGGCTCATATTGTTGAACAGTGGCATCAACGTCGTCGTTCTGATCAACAACGTATTTTAAAATTAGCTAAACAACGTCGTATACATCAAATATATGTTGAACAAGAATGGCAAAATCGAGAAAAATATATATATGGTGAACGTGGGCCATGGTGGAATGAACAAAATAGTAAAGAACGTCATTGGAAATTATCTGATCGTGAAAATATTCATCGTATGAGATGTAAACTTATTGAAAATAATGATTTTAATAAACATGATGAAGCAAGTCGTTTAAGAGATAATTTAGGCGTTGATTCAATGGATGAATCACGTCAATCGTTACTTGAAGAAAGTTTGAAAAATAAACATTTATTAATTCAACAGGAAATTTTACATGGAAATTCGTTTGATGAACAAGAACTTCTAGATATTGCAAATGAAACTCAAGCATTATTACTTGAAGAAAAAGAAAAAATGTAAGTTGCAAAAAAAGCCAAAATCATATTTTTATATATTGCAAAATACGATCGGAAAGGATGCTTTTGGTCCTTCATAAATCGTGACAGATTTACTAGGGAAGTCACGCAACTGATTAATTGCTTTAAAGTCCGAACCATGTGCATTATGTACACCCTAAGAAGTTATGAATACACTGAAATGAGCTCGAGTCCTTAGGTTATTACTGATGGAAAATTGTATCTTTACGACCTTGCTTTAAGTCAATAGTGTGATCTTCTCAGGAATACACGAAAAATTTGTTTTCGAGTTTCACTTTGAAACTTCGCATAGTCATAGATCTTAATCAGAATAGCTTATTGTGAAAGTCTCCAGCCTTCTGAGTTGCTTCTTTTCTAAAATAAGAATATCAAATCCATCAGTGTGATATGAGCAGTGCAAAAAAACAAGCTTTCATTATAGCTGTATCTTACGACGAAACATACTCAGGTGATACTTTCCAATTTAAATCTTTCATACGTCCACTAATAAAAGGTATCAATCGTTGAGGCTTTCTTCAGAAGCTACGGAGACTTTTTTAGTTGCTTCAGTGAAAGACAATGAAAATGGAAAATTTCAGAATTTTGCCCAGAAAGGTCGTAAAGAACTAAACCCTCTTTCTTAGTAATATTAACGATCTATTATATGTCCTGATAGTTTCAGCTCTCCTATCCATTCGCTTCTCGAGTTATAGAACTTTCTATTTGAAAGAAAAATCGCTTAGTAAATCTATAGTGTAATGGAGCTTTCTTTTTGCTCATGTTTTTTCTTTTCACTAAAGTTACTTAACGTTTTAACGTTCCTTTTCATCGTATCTTATGGACGAGTGAGTTTGGCTGAAGAGCAAACCCTTCGTATCCATTCTAAAAGTTCTATCACTCAGGAATGGAACAAGTTAGAAATCTGGAAAGAACCCGAACCTTTTGTATTAAATTCTTAGTTCATTAGGGTCTATATGTATAATACATGGTTTCGCTCAGCAGCAATTCATCAGTTGAAGAATTTCTCACATTAGCGATCGAAATAAAGCTTTCTATAAAATTATTATACGAGAGAATTGAAATTAAGATATCTGCCATTGACTTCTTTTTTAAACTCTATGTAAAATATGAATAATTAGATCTTTCATCAAGGACATATCAGTACGTTGGAAGTTCCAAATTGAACCACATTGATTTACATTAAATACAGATCAATCATGTTTTACAATCTAATTGCGTAAAGATTGTGCTAATATGTTTTCTTTTTTGATAGGATTATTGGTACACAATGTTCATTAATAACTTCAACATCAGTAACAGATGGTAAACTTGAAATAACAAATCGATATATTTATTTTTTTGATTCAACACCACAAAAATCTTGTGAAAAAGATTTTAAATATCCATTATTATGGTTACAAGATGTACATTTACGTCGTTATAATTTACGTCCATCAGCATTAGAATTTTTTCTTCTTAATCAAACAAATTTTTTAATCAATTTTGATAAAAAATTACGACGACAAATTTATCAAAAAATCGTGTCATTAAAATTACCTGGAATGAAAAGTGTCTTTTCCAATTTATCGGTATCAATAACACCACAAGAAATTTTAAAAGAATCAAAATTAACTGAAAAATGGGTTACAAGAGAAATATCAAATTTTGAATATTTAATGATGTTAAATACAATTGCAGGACGAACATATAATGATCTTAATCAATATCCTATTTTTCCTTGGATATTAACAGATTATACTTCGGAAGTATTAGATATTAATGATCCAAATATTTTTAGAGATTTTTCTAAACCCATTGGTATACAAAATCCAACACATATTGAAGAAGTTAGACTAAAGTAAGTTATTTTTGTTTTCATTTCATTGTTACATATTAATGTATTATATATTTATAAAAATATCACAGAAATTCGGTAAAAAAAAAGCATTTTTAAAAGTGGCAGAAAACGTTTCGTAGAAACAACATATGTTAAGATTTTTCAAATCTATAGACATTCACACAGTCTTATGTTATCTTATTGAGAATGATCAACTTTTGATTACATCTATACTATTGGATGTTGTCAAAGGCGATTATGTGTACAGATGTAATAATAACCATCAATCACGAGTTCATTGTCACCGATCTAAAATTCTAACGATAAGCCAGATAAATACATAAAATGCCTACGATGATAATGAATTTATTAATACCATTAAACGCTCTTATATTGGAGAAATCTAAATTAGGCAAAAAATTACCAATCTTAAAGTTGCTACATCTTTAGAGTTGCTCAGAAAAATTCTGCATATTGATATTTTTTCGAATTATGATATTTTTCTAGATTCGGCGTTTTACGAGTTTGATTAGAACCTCTAATTCATTTTTTTACCAATGTTTAGTGCACTGTCATCATAGTAATGCAGTTATCATTTAGCACAATTTTTAAACTACTAATAATACACTCTTTCTTGAACCTAAAGCTTTTGTGAACTGAATATCAGACTCTACTGCTGCAAAAGCCATTTCAATCAATGACATTGCTGGATATTCATTGAACTTTACGCTTAAGAAGGGGTATTGTCACATGAAGTGTAAACATCAAATAACTGTATTCGGATTTGTCGGCAAAATTGTGAATTGGGAGACTTTTCTTGTTTGTAATCGCGTTATTCAGCTACAGAATCAACAAGTTATACAAAAGTCACGGGCTTATTTCCTTATGTCTATGTTGCTAAAATCGTTGAATTAGCAACAGTTTACGTTTTCATATATAATATAATCTCTAACTAACAGTGCTTGATTAATGGAACATGTACGAAAACAATTAGTTACTCTCTGATCAAAGCTAGAAATAGTGACTAGTATCTCATTCTTACTTTTCTTTCCCTTTTTTTAATAAGAGTTTGATCTTTATGTTTTCGATAGTTTTGGTATAAAATAAACAAAAAAAAACCGTTATATAATTCTTTTAAATAGATATGAATCATTCGATGATCCAACTGGTATAATGAAAAAATTTCATTATGGTACACATTATTCAAATGCTGCAAGTGTTATGCATTATCTTATTCGAATGGAGCCTTTTACAACATTACATATTCAATTACAAAGTGGAAAGTATGTAATCAATATTTCCTTTTTGCTATTTAATATAAATATTTAACTTAATTTTATTAAGATTTGATATAGCAGATCGTCAATTTCATTCATTTCAATCTGCATGGTTAAATATAATGGATTCTCCAAATGAAGTTAAAGAATTAATTCCAGAATTTTTTTATTTACCAGAATTTCTTGTTAATTCAAATAAATTCGATTTAGGTAAACTTCAAATTAGTAATCAAATAATAAATGATGTTCAATTACCACCATGGGCTCACAATTCACCCGAAGAATTTATTCGTATTCATCGTTTAGCACTTGAATCGGATTATGTATCATCTCATTTGCATGAATGGATTGATCTTATATTCGGTTATAAACAAACAGGTCAAGCTGCTATTGATGCACTTAATGTATTTATGTATTGTTCATACGAGAAAGCTGTAGATGTTGATGCTATTGATGATCCAGTAACACGTGAAGCAGTCGAAGGTATGATACAAAATTTTGGACAAATTCCATCTCAACTTTTAACTGAACCTCATCCACAACGGCAAACAAGTGAACAAGCAGCATTGGAAATTGAATCACAAGGGCGTGCTTTAAATATATTTCAAAATTTAACACATATACGAGCTTTTTTTGTTGAAATAACACCGGCAAATGATAAATTATGCGATCCAATAACATTTATTTCTATACCAAAAAATCAAGTTCGATCATTTATGCAACAAGGAATTCCTGATACACTTATTACTGTTAGTGTTAGTGGTGTTATTGGAAATAATGGTTAGTCTATTCTATTGCAAAACAAAAATTTTATTCCATTTTTCTATTTATGAATATCGTGTAGGTTGGCAGCCATATGATAAATCTTTGAGTAACTTTTTTACATTTGAACGAGATCCAACATTACAAACTGAACGGTAAAGATTATTCATACCATTGTCATGAAAATATTATGAATATATTAAAAATCTGCCGGTTCTTTTTTTTTTGAAAGAAAAATGCAGAAGTACGAAATAATATTGATTCTGAGTTAACCAAATCATCTAGTTAAATTTCGAAATTATAGTATATTCAATCGAGAGAGAAGAGTATTTACTGTGATAGATGTAAGAGAAAAATAACTAATTTCATGATTCTGTTGATTTCGAGTGATTCCAATGATTCTGATTACTGAAAACGGCAAGTGAGATTATCGTTACCTCATGAGGTAACCAATAAGAAAAAATGTGTGGCTATGATTATCTTGTCAATCATATTTCAGCGAAGATTTTCTTCACTATTGTAAAGGTAAAACACTGATAATGTGTAACTGCGGATGTAAGGATAACTTCCTAGCATTAATATTGACTATTATACTTTGATAGAACGGTTTTCTGTATCACTCCAACGATAACAAAGACTGATTTGAGATGTTCTCAGGGAATTTATGATTTTAAAACAACTTATTCCAAGTGTCATTATTGATTTTGCATGATTCTAATGCTTCGAAATCATCTTTTTCTCTATTGAATAACTGACTACTAATAAATATGTGCTAGTAATGAAATTAATACAAAATTTCTCAATAGACTTTACATAAAGAATCTGCCGCATAAGTGATATCCAATATCAGACTTCAAACTTAATACTGTAATCCATTATCAGATCAACTATTAAACTTAACATTTAAGACTCTTGCCTAGGGTACATACCTACCTACTACGAATCATCTCATATTGTATCACGTTTGGAGTTTTCGACTGATGCGAAAATCACTCGAAAAAATTTAAGATTTTTACATTCATATTTCGAACTTATAGAAAGAATCTCTAGACTACAATATACTTACAGAGAGAGCTCAGAAATCCTGTCAATGGATTTATAAGAATTTTAGTTACTGATTACTATTGATAGGAAAAATGAACAAAGAATTTTTTGAACCATAATATTTTATCTATAAGTAAATCTTATGATCATGAGAATTTCGTAAAATTTTCAATCAGAATGATTTCTTCTTTCTTGAGATATTCGTAATTAGAAAGCACATTCTTCTCTATTCATTGATTAGATCTAAATATGAAAATTTCACAGAAAAAAAGTTCATTTGTTTTATCAATTGAATAACTAAATTGATCTATATTTTTCTTTCGAAATTCGAAAGAAAAAAACCGCAGATCTCGATATATTTATTAAGAAAATCCTACGTTGATATTAATATCAGTTTTAATACTTTATTTTTATTTTTAGTAATCGACATATCATTGCTGCTCCATTTTCTCCATCATTAGAAATAAAGTCTCATTTATTTGCTGTTTCTCATGATGCAAAATTTGTTTTTAGTGGTGGTCATTGGGATTGGTCATTACGTGTTTATTCTTTACTTAAATCTAAAATGACAAGTTCATTAATTCATCATACTGATATAATAACATGTTTAACACTTGATTCAACTGGATATATTCTTGTGACTGGTTCACGTGATACCACTTGTGTTATTTGGAACATATCCTTACAAGATGATCATCATTTAAATAATCTAAATGATCAAGAATCTAATTCATTTCTTACACCTGATATTACACTTTATGGTCATACATCTGAGGTAACATGTATTTGTGTATCAACTGAACTTGATCTTGTTGTATCAGGTTCATTAGATGGTACTTGCAATATTCATACAGTTGAACATGGAATTTATATACGAACATTACGACCAATTGGTGATCGAATTGTTAATTTACAATTATCAAATGAAAGACATATACTTATTCAAACAGAAAAAGATGATACACATTTATTTTTATATTCAATAAATGGTAGTTTGATTCGAACAAGAAGATTAGAATATAAAATTGTTGATATGCTTTTAAGTGATCAACATATTGTACTTGCTGTTAATCATGTCCCATTATTACAACAAACAAATGACACAACGAATAAAGAATCAACAAGTTTAATAGCCGCAAGAATTGTTATTAAAGATATGTTTGAGTAAGTTTATCTATTTCTTCTATTTGTGTACAATACTTATGAAAAATATATGACCAAAGTATTTTTGATTTTTTTTAATGATGCCAAGTAATAAAGAGCTGAAAATTTTACCATAGCCACTTCATTACAGCTTCAACATTTTCTGACAATTTTATGGGATTTAAATATATTTGAACTAAGATCGGTTTTTGATGGATAGGAGAAGAATGTCTTAACCCAAATCCAAATAATGATTTGAATAGCCAATGAAGTTTTCTATCCAATGAATTCCACACTGAAGTTTCATAGATGGACTACGAAAAAATTAGCTTTCAAGGGTACCGTGTTACACAGCACACACATCTGAATAAAACTGAGGGTTACCATATTTTTCTATGACTTTCCATTAAATAGGTATAAGCTTCACAAAAAATTAAACAAACCAAATTTATCATAGCATTGCTATACAACACATTTTTATGGCGCTTATAACGTTTTACGAAAAGATCATAGGAAATGTGGCAATGTCTTATTTTATTTAGAACTTTATGTTTCTTAAGGTGATAAGCTTCGAAATTAATTTTTGTATAGTCTTCTACGACTTGAAAATTACCATATATGGTTTTTCAGAAGTCTTTCGTCTCATAGTTCATCGATGAATTTTTAGTATGAAATATATTTGATACAGAACGTCATTCATTATTCAAACTATCATTTGAATTTACGTTAAATGCTTGGTATTGTAAAAAAAAAATAAAATAAAAAATATATTGGTCTTATATTTTTCATCAATGCTATAATTGAATTATATTATGTTTCTTTTTATTTAAAGTATGAAAACAATTCAAACAATTCGTCTTCGTACACATATCAATTGTCTTTATTTTACAAAAGATTTTAGTCATTTACTTGTTGGTGTTAAAGATGGAAAACTAATTGTATTAACAGCTGAAAAGAAATCTTTAACAAAAAATGTTACTAAAAATAATTAAATGTGAAAAAAGACATACATTCCTTATTATTTATTTGGCAATTACTATTATTAATTCCATGTGTCAGATTTAATTCAGTTTTATTCGCTTATAATAAAAAAAAATACGTTTGTTTTTCGTTTATTGTGTCATCAGTGTGCATTTTTTGTTTTTCTCTTGATCAAATTTCGACTCAATTCTTTGTGTTTGTGTGTATGTGCCTATGTTATTATTATGCTTTCTCTGATTACTTGTCCGGTTCTCGTTAATTTTCTTGTTTTTATTTCAAAATTATTATAATATTTGTGCACATTATCTTCTTAATAAGCACGTTCTTTTTTTTTCCAAAAAATTAGTGAGCCGAAAAAAGAATTATTTAATTTTTATATTAAAAAATAAAATAAACAGTGAACGCTACAATTTAAATATAAGATAATAACTAGGAAATCTACTTAATGAATGACTATGAAAGTTTGTTTTTTGTTAAAAACAAATAATCAAACGATGTGACACAAAGAAAAACTAAACCTTTTAAATAATTTGAGTTCTGATGATAGAAAGAAAGTTGTGAAAATTTTGAATTGCATCAGCGTTTACAAAAAACTGTTATTCGTGTGTCTTTATTTTATGGAGTATGTATGAAAACACAACTCTAGAGCGATAATGTAAAACAGAGCAAGTCATGATGGGAATTACCATACTTTTGTACTTGACGTTAATTTGATTATTTTAAGAGACTTAAAGTTTCTTTGAAGTAATTTATGGTACTTTAAAATAATTTGAGCTACTTACAGGTACTTAACACATTGGACACGATGAGTTCCACCGGTGGGACCCACCATATTTTAACAGGAAAATGACTAGAAAAACACTTTCTTTCCCTTTTCCCTCGGGTACAATGTTTCGTGTAATATGTCATCTGCTCTCTCCGCTATTGTTTGAATTATTCATTGCATAGAATGGTGTTTCTCTTTGAAACAACCAAGACAATAAAATTTGTCACAAACAGAGCAGAAAGTTTCCATTTTCTTTGTTATCGCATTACTTTCTTCTCTTGATTGTTGTTGTTTGATTTCCTCGTAGCAGCCAGCACAGCGTCTTCGGACATCGTGGTCCGACCCTTCCTTTTCTTTGAGCTTTTAGAGAGAAGCAAGTAATGCGATAGCAAAGAAAATGGAAACCTTCTGCTCTGATTGTGACAAATTTTATTGTCTGGGTTGTTTCAACGAGAAACACCATTCTATGCAATAAATAATTCAAACAATAGCGGAGAGAGCAGATGATATATTACACATAACCTTCTATCCGAGAAAAAGGAAAAGAAAGTGTTTTTCTAGTCATTTTCCTGTTAAAATATGGTGGGTCCCACCAGTGGGATCCATCGTGTCGAATGTGTTGAATTACTTTGAGATATTTTAAACTATATAAAACTAATTTAAGCTACTTCAGGTTACTACAAACGACTTCCGAGTTTCAAATACTTAAGTAATTCGACGTACTTAAAACATAAGTCAGTGTCTTTGGAACGACTGCTACATACTTTGAGCTACTCTTGTCATATGACGTACTTTTCTACTTCAAGTATGCTATTTCTCTTTAGTAAATTATAGTAGGAAAAAAGCAATCATTCACATAGCATAAACATGTATAAAAAGTCTAAATGAGAAAGATTTTACAAATCTACTATTTTATTCTTTATCAATTTTATATCAAGTTTCAATCAACTTAGGCAACATTCACTTATAGATAGATTTATGGAATTGAAATTAGTATATATAAGCAATCATCACTACAGTGATATTCAACTACGTACGAGATTCATGGTTGCCTATTCATTATTAAACTATCACAATTGAAAGATCGATGGATCATCCATTGCGAACTCTTCTTTTACATTTTTATTTTCCTTACATTTCAAAACTTGTTTAGAGATTGGAATTATAAAATTCTCAATTCGGTTTCTTAGAGAGCATGAAACTAACTTTTTCAAAGATAAAAATCTTTCAAAACATGAAAAATGAATAATCAATTCCTATTCACGTTCTTTTCCTTTTGAAATCTTTCTACAATGATAAGTTTTTTAAATATCATATCAGACAATGACTATGTGATTCAATGGAAAAAGTAATAAATATGTCTGCATGTTTGTTTTATCTATTTTTCCTTATATTGTAGATAACAGATGGACTAATGAAAGAGTATCAATCATATATTGAAAGAGGAATAGATCATTAGCTCTTTGCACCTACCTTATTCAATATGTTATTTAAATTTTTGTATTAGTTTCATTTCAAAAGAAAACAAATGAAATAATGTTAACTGAACTAGACTACATGAATACATATAATATATTGTCTTGTCTGTACTTCATCAAAAGACATTAACAGCCAGTTTTAGGAAGTTTACTTTATCATCTCGTGTTAGGATATTAATAAAAATTATGCCATAAGAATAGTTAAACGATATTATCAATATAAATTATACAGTTACTATGTATAATATGTCGTATGATTAAAATTGACAAGTTTATCGAGTAGAAGTAGAGACATATAAAATACAAAATCTGATATGCATAATAGATGTTTAAGTGTGGAGATGTTAAAGAGATCAAAAATTTATATCTGATATGTTTCTCATTGGTGGACATTGATCAAGTATACCAGGAGTTGAATGAATTCTCAGAAAATGCATAAGAGACATAATATGTATTGAATATTTCACTAAATATGTTATTATCTATGTACAAAAATCTTGGCAGTCTATCACAATCTAAACTTGTTCAAATAGATGATTGTTTGTTGTCTAATCAGCATTATTTACATCTGACAAGATCACAATATCTTGATATTGTTTGCTGAGATTGTAACATTAAAATGACTCTTGATAATTTATCTATACCATCTCTTGTATACATAGTTCTAAATAGATTCACTCTTGGACTTAGCGATGAATTGTTGCTTAATAAAAGGATACAAATCTTACTCTCTACTAATATCAAGCTACAGAATTCATTTTCATTTTATACTTACAAAAGATATTAACTTAATTATTGTATTAGTTCAAAATCCTTTATTCATCATTTTATACATCATGAATACACAAAGCAAAGATATATATATACAACAGTATTGCAACATATCCTGATATGTGTATGCATTATAATTGAATGGCAATCAGATTTTATATGAATCAACATCATCTTATTAAACTTTTCAAGTTTATCTAAAGAAAGAATAGATGATGCTTGTTAACAATCTACGAGATGTAGTATGAGTGTGAAAGAGAGAAGAGAAGATACACTAACACCTCTCACCAATACTCTACTCAATTATGAATATATCAAAGTGATTCTACACTGAGACTGATTAAGTTGTATTTTCATGTAAGTCAAGGCGTTTTATTTGACAAAGGTTATACATCAAGTTGAATGTCAGAAATGTTCTACACAATCGAATTTCCTTCAACACCCTTGAATTAGATTATACTTGAAATGATCGTTTGTGGTTCATACTGAGTATTTTATGTCAATTGAATTGAATAGAAAGTATTCAGAAATTTTCTATCGAATACGAGCAAAATTGATTGATAAGCTTCCAATTGGATTTCAGTGAGATTTGTTTCACTATCAATGGAGAATCGGCTGATTTTTTATTTTCCTAGAAGAAATTTGCCAGTTCCAATCGTGGAAACGGTCAATCGATGATTCCATTTATCTCACAGCCATTCTATATTAGCCTGATGAAAATAATATCAGAAAAGTTCAACAGAATTTCTTGTTTTATATTTTTGAAACGTTCAAAGGTACATGTTTTACAAAAAAATACACACAAAATGAAAAATTGTAGCAAACACAAACGAAAAACACAAAAAATACTATGAAGAATCTGACATATTCATTAACTGATTCAGGTTTAGCACTCAAATTGACGACTGAGATTTTGCTATTTAAGTCAAGTGAATCATTTTTCTTGTGGATACCCGGTTAACGGAACCTGTCGTACGCAAGGTTCGCTCATCATTTTTGAAGTGAGTATAAAGTCGACCGCAGTAGCAGTTGTTGCACAAGGAATATTGTACACTTCCGTTAATCGAAGAAGTGCTCTAACGTCAGCCTCATGAGCATGAGGACTCAGTGGATCAATGAGGAAGACGAGAATGTCAAGTTCGCCTGTAGCAATCTTTGTTCCCAACTGTTGATCACCACCCAAGGGACCACTCTTATATTGCGTTACATTTACATTCAGCTCTTGCTGGATCAACGATCCTGTCGTGCCCGTACCATAAAGTTTGTGTTCAAGAAGTACATTGCGGTGTTTTTTAAGGCATTTGATCAGTTCCGATTTCTTTGTATTGTGGGCAGCAAATCCGATTCGTTTGTGTACACCCATAGCTCTGGTACTAGCAATTTGCTAATAATTTTCAAAGTATCATAGAGTTGCTGTTTTTCTATCAATGTGATTATAAACTTACCCGTTCTAAGAGTGCATTATCTCCATTTGATTGCTGCTGTAACTCTTGAATATATTCTGCATAGTATCGATCATTTTCTCGGTTTATATAAAGGCTATCGTACGGTTGCTTTGATTTCCCAGTGTTAATTAATTCTGAACCTAAATAAATCCTTAGATGAAATATAAAAGAAACGTCTGACAGACATATACTTGCCTCCAAAATGATCTGCGATGCCTTGCTGAAAAAAAAGAAAAGATTATATTTCTTTGGAGGCATACTTATAAGTGTTTATTTATATCTTGCATGAGATCGATAGAAAAATACAATCAGGAAGCAGAGATTGACGGGACACGAAACAGAAAGAATCATCGAGGATCTTCGTCTTTTTCCATCGATGAGAATGAATTAGAACTTATCGCGGATGCTTCTCTTTAAAGTAGCGAACTATTTCGCTGCGAATAAACAAGAAATAGAAGAAGCAAATGTCATGATGGACGATTCCACTTCCATAGCAAACAAATTGGAAAATGAATACCGGGACTGATAGATTCAGATGAAGGACAACCGTC